GGAGGCGGTTGCTCAGTAGGTTGCAGACCATCACTAGTAGGTTGGAGTCGGTTGCTCAGTAAGGCCATCGCTCTTAGGTTGAAGGCCATTGCTATTATATAGGTTGGAGGCCTTCGCTTAGTAGGTTGGAGGCCATCGCTGGTATGTTGGAGGCCATTGCCCTTTAGTTGGAGGCCGTTGCTATTAGGTTGGAGGCCATCGTTAGTAGGTTGGAGGCATTGAAAATTAGGTTGGCCATTGCTGGTCGGTTGCGGGCCATCGCTAGTAGGTTGGAGGCCATCGCTAGTAGGTTGGCTGGAGGCCATTGCTACTAAGTTGGAGGCCATTGCTTAGTAGGTTGGAGGCCATCGCTATCTGGTTGGAGGCAATGGCTCTTGGGTTGGGTTGGCTCCTAAAGAAAGACCTCTTAGACCTCGCCAGGGGATGTCTTCGTGCACTTCTCACAGCTCACGAATGGCGGGTCGGACGACATGATCGTGGGGGCCGAGATGAGTTTCGACATCACCGAGGACGGGGGACGACGGCGTGGGAGGACGGGGACGGATGGACTGCAGGACTTGTCACACCTCACAGCGTCACCGAGGTTCGTCTCTAGGAGGTTGTGGGCGTGGAAAAGCCCCGGCTTGAGCCGGTGAAACAAACGCTATAGGCTATAAGTACTTGAGAGTGAACTAGTAGCCTCGCAACGGGGTTTATTACTTGTTCTATTCTTTTTGGAAGTATATGTTGATATGATATGTGTTTCAGTAATGTATTTTTGTTTATGATATATTGTATTCTTATTTTTTCCCGAATGCTTAGGGAAGGGTTTTTGCGTAACTTTGGGGGTCTGGGGGTAGAGCCTTGTTCGCGACGTGTTGTGGTAGCGTTTGTAACCGTCCGCAACCGTTCGCGGCTGGGTCGCTATGGCGCTGACAGTGTGCGAAAGGATTTTCTCGTGACAAGCATGACAGCCACCACGCCGTGCCCTACCCCACACCCTCGAAGACGCGCCACATGGAATCACAAAAAACCATAAAACATCACACATGGAAACACATTGAACACATATTTGTCCATGTTTTCAATATGTGTCCATTAACCTTTTTTTTGTTTATTTTTCTATTATTTCCGTGCAGCGCCTCTTCGAGGAGGTAGGGCACGGCGGTGGCTGGAAGGTAGCGGCTGGGTTTGTAGGTCGCGCAGTGGCCTCTAAGTCTGGAAACAACGCCCGTTAGCGTTCTTCAACAGATACCTCCAACCTAGTAGCTTCTTGCTACTAGTAGCTTCTTGTTACTACAGGTGAAACGATTCCCAGTGAAACGATTCACCAGGGAGCTTCTAGCTACTAGGGATGGGTGTTTGGATTTTAGGCAACATGTAGAATGCTGGAAGAGGGCGTGCATAGTTTCCGTTTTCCACAGCGTGAATTTAATGTATATCCTTTGCTGGAAGCCAGCACTTTGCAAACCAATCTTCAACTGAAGAACAGTAATGCAAGAAGAGAAACCCTGAAGAAGTCAGTAAAAACACACACAGACACACACACACACATCAAGGAAACATAGCCAAGAACGTTTACTTTAAAACCACAAATGACAACATGAATAAGACACTTAAACCCATGAGACAAACATAGAACAAACAACCAAAACATAAATCACCTTAAAACCCAATACAACATATTACACTACTTAAGCAGACCTGGTGGCTTACATTTTAAGTCTCAACGGTATACGATCCGATTGCTCGAGACAAAGGTTGTCCTTTCGGATCTCTGATCCGCTGTGTCTATGCGGAAGAGCGTCTGTGGGGTTCCCAGGATCCCCGCAGTGGGAAGACGAAGGCGACCAATGTGACCCTCACCAATGGTGGGTCTGGTGAACGACTCGCAGGCAGGGTGGATCCGGTGCACATCAGCCTATATCAAGTTGCTGAGTTGTAACAAGAAGCTACTAAGCTACTAGGAACAAGTGCCACGCTAGTAGTAACAGGTGCCTTACTAGTAGTAACAAGAAGCTACTAGGAACAAGTGGGCACTTGTTGTGCTCCACGATTTCGTCGTCAAAGGACCGGTTGCCTTTGACTGCCTCCGGAGTTTTTTTTTTTTTTTCAGAAAGCTTTGTTACTAAGAAGCTTCTTGTTACTAGAAGAGATGGCCTCCAACCTAATAGCGATGGCCTCCACCTAGTAGCTGCTTTTTACTAGAAAGCTTTGTTACTCAGGAATGAGCTATGGCGGTGGCAAGGGCAAAGGCAAGGGCAAGCGCGACCGAGCTTTGAAGCTGTTGGACGGTTCGTCGGTTCGTCGGTTCGTCGGTTCCGCTTCGTCGGTTCGTCGCGGTCGCGCACGTGTTCTCCGGTGCTTTCCGAACGCTTTGCTCGTCGGTTCGTGACCCCGAAGCATCGCATCGAAGAGAACCTGAAGAAAACGACCCTTCGGCTGTCCAAGGATACGACCCCTACTGAAGGGCGACTGCTGAACCAGCAAGCAGATGCTGCGGTTCATGCCCTTGCAGGGGCGTGAAGCTCCTTTGTTCCAGGAGATGGAGATATGCCGGATCATTATGTTATTGTGACATGCATGACACCTGCCCATTGCAACCATGCTCATATTTCATAGAACTGTTGTGCTCTCAGCCTCGAGGCCCGGCTTTTTGTTCTCTCCTTAATGATCTATTTGTGAAATCTCCTCTGTACAGCAAAGTTTTGTCTTGCACCAGCACGACGTGGCTATTACCGTCGGTCAAAATCAAGCGTTTTGTAATGCTGGAAGCTGTGAAGGTGCAAGGCTCGGTTTTTCTCTCAGAGCAGTATTCACCCAGTTGCATGCATCTTAAGAGAGTTGCATGCTATCAACTATGCGGAAGCACGGTCTGTTGAAGAGGGAAGAAGGGACAGGCTGTCCAAAAGCTGCAGAGTTTAAGCGGGACTTGTCATGAAAGTTGTTTTTGGTTGAGCGCCAGTGCCGAACGAGTGTATTCCGGACGAAAGAGGGATTTTGAAGGACGACGCAGCTTTGCATGCTGAGATTTGAAACACCACCAAGATAAAGCCTCAGTAACAAGGACGCTATTAGGGGCTCCTGGCATCGCTACTAGGAGCAATTTCGATCACATTTGAAGAACCATACTCTCTTCGCTTCGCTTCGTGACGACCGCGCGACATCGCCCGAAAACACGCGAACGCGAGACATTGGGCGCATCCACCGCCGCATGAACGTCCGATCGCTCCGTTCGTAGCGCCTAGGTTTGGGTCCCGGCTTTCCAGTGCCCGTGGAGATCGTGCCCTTCTGCTCGGGCCCTCGGGAACGGGAGACCGACCACCAGGGGCGGTTTCTCTCCGCGTGCGACAGGAGAGATGAGATGGGTCTGTTTCGGACAGTTGACCACAGTTGGCATGGACATGGGAGTTGTTCACCATCTCCACTTTGTTGATGCCATGCCGCAGAAATGGTTTCGGACAGGAAGAAAATGATCACTTGGATGTTGCCCGACTGAGACAGAGACATGGATTGATCGACTGGGTCAGGTCACCTACAATCATGGACTGTATTGATCCATACCATCATCAAATCTTGGATGTTCATTGGATGTTCAACACATGTTCTTAAGTGTTTTGTCTAACCAACCGCCCGAACTGGAGTTTCACTCAAGGCCACGAGCACACCATGCGGCAGATCGCGGCGCTGCCCGCGCTCGCCGGATGTGAGCCGGTGCTAAGGCAGTGCGACCAGTTCTTCGCTCGGACCAAGAGAGGTTGAACTCCCCCATATACCCCATCCCATATGAACGACGAACACAGCGTCCTTTATGGTCTCTCAACCTCTCTTGGGAGCTTCTTGTGTTTTGCTACTAGTAGTAAGGCCAAGAGCCGCTAGTAGCGTCCTTGCTCCTAGTAGAGATGCCCTTTGCTCCTAGTAGCTTCTTGTGTTCTGCTGTTGCGAAGTTTTGTGTGGTGTCCACGGGTGGTCTTGAGAGCGACAGCGAATCGTCATGCTGTGGGGGCACCGTGAGTGCTCTGTGCGGCGAGGTGTCCGATGCGTGCTGCCTGAGCGATGGCCTCCAACCTACTAGCATAAGGAACCTAATAGCCATGGTCTCCAACCTAAGAGCGATGGCCTCCAACCTACTAGCGATGGCCTCCAAGGTAAGGGCGATGGCCTCCAACCTAAGAGGGATGGTCTCCAACCTAAGAGCCAACAGGTTGGGGAACGTCGCCAACAACCAGAAGGATGGAGATGAACCAGCCATCACGGACAATGGGAACTATATCGTGGACCTGAAGTGCTCGCCTCAAAGATGGGTGTTTGAAACGGCCTTCCATCTCCTTTTGGCGCGCGCTGGCTGGCTCGGGGGGTTAAGATAGACTGCTGTTTTCAAACGAGGTGAGACCTAAAGAGAATCCAGCTTTGCTTGAACATCAGGGACCACCTAAAGAAACGCACTTGGAAGGTAGAATCAAGCGACCAGCTGAGTATGGCCGGCCTCTTGAGCTTGAACCGAACCGGAATATACAGCTGTTGCTTCGATACTTGACACATGTTGAGACCTTACACAGGGCTCCATTTGTAAGGGGTTCTACTGTTTCGTCTTCGAATGTTTCCAGACCATTGACAACTGACACCTGCCATGCCATGATGCTCAGATCCTCAAATGTAAAGGACCTCCAGATGCATTTTTGCTGTTCTGCTTCAAGTCTACACGTTCGTTTTTACCCTAGGGTTCCACCTCAGAAGGTAGTTTCAGACTAGTTGGGGGGTTAGAACATGAACTGAGGCATCTCATGCACTGTATATATATGTATATATATATATATATCTGTATCGTTGTATATCCAGCCCTTCAATTCACACACCTAGGAGCCTGACAGGATCTCACACACAAACACGTGGACCTGAAAGGTCTATTTTTTTCCCTCACAAACATAGGACCTTAAAATCTCACTAACCAGGTTCCAAGAAGCGACACCTGAACCATTAGTAGCGTCCGATCGCTCCTAGTAAGGCCAGGAGCCCCGTTCGCAGCGTCCTTTGCTCCCAGTTTGGAAGAAACCCTTCCAAGTGCTTTGTCACCTCACCTCCCAAGGTTCACCAGCCCCATCAAGGACGGGACGCTTTGACCTCGCCGAACTCGGCGCTTGGAGGGAGGCGGTTCATGTGAAGATGCCACGATTGGCAGGACCCTGTGGCCGCTGGCGAACAGCTCAAGGACTGCCACCTGGGGCTTGTGGGCCATGGATATCATGGATTTGGGGGCTCTGACTGGTTCAGTCTGAAGCCCCCGCCTCGACCCGCCGTCTCCCACCTCCTCACATACTGCACGTACCTTTTACCCTGCAGAGGTGGAAAAGGAAGAGAAGGTGCCTACGATCGACTCTGGGATCGACCCGTAGATTTACGGCAGACGGATGTAGATAGATGAGTGTTGTTCAGAGGTTTCTGGTTTTAGAGGTCTTGGGCATGCACCAATCCACCATCCACCACAGGCATGCGGCATGCCGCACCCGAAGATAGACATCTGGGAGACGGCATGCTGACTTGAGTCAATTTGGGTGTGTATTTTAATGAGGAGACATCCAACAAATGGGTGTTCGTCTATTTTCCTTCTTCCAGTCAGTCTTAGGGAGGTTTTCCTATTTTTAATACACACCCATTTTGAGGATACACATCTGATCACTTTCACAGGTCAAAAGGGAGCTTTGGGATCAATACTTTTTGTCCCTTGTGACTAGTAGCTTCTAGCTACTAGTAACAGGTGCATCGCTAGTGACAAGTGCATTACTAGTAGCAAATAGCTATGTTCGTAGCTTGAGAAGCTACTTGTTACTAGTGCCCTTGTTACTCGAAGCGATGCCGTTGTTACTTGTGTCTGGTCCCAAAAAGGTCATGGAGACGGATCAAAAAGAACCGGTTGTGCTTTTTGGATGGGGGATTTGATTCTAATGGACTAATCAACTGTATAAATATGTCGATATACATCTGTCAACAGGGTTTTGGGTGAGACATGACCGGCTTTTCTTTGCAGGCGACGGTGGGTGTGGTGGACCATGGCCTCTTCACAGGCCGTGTAGAATTGGATGACGGGCTTTGTGAGATTTTGTGACAACACATGTCCCATCCATGACTCGTTCTTGAGTGCTGACATTTATGTGTTGAACTGTACTGTTCAAGAGTATGGAGGTACTTTGAAGGATCTTGAAGACACATATTTAGCAAGTACTTCCCTTCTCCTAACCCAAAAGGCCCTCTAGCAGAATGGGCGGAATACTAGCGTGATTTTCATCTACTGTGGCATCTACATCAGATCTCCCATTCATCCAACATCTCTATTGAACACCATGTCTTTGGCTCCGAGAACGTGAACGTGGCTCCGGAGAACGGTCCCTGTGGGCGCGGGCGCCTTCTCCGTGGCGCGTCAGGCATGACCACCGCTTGCATTGTGGCTGGCTCTGATGGCATCATCGTGAAGGCACCGCGCGTCCGAGAGGATCGCCGTGAGCCGGCCGTGATGGTCCACACGATTTGGGAGCCCAACCCACGTGGTCAGCTAGGAGCTGAAGATGGTCGGCTTGATCCATCTCTTCCACATTTTTTTCTGAGGGGGATAGCCCAGGACCGGCCCAGGATGGCTGGAGTAAGAGTGACACCTCTTTGAGGCCCCAGCTGTGCGGCCTTGTTGGAATACCTACCCGAGACAAAAAGAATCCACCCTGACGAGGATCGATCCAATCGACCTTTCTTCCTTTTCTTGTCTTCTTTGTTTCTAACAGCAATGCCTTAGCAATGCCCTCTACCTCTAACCTACTAGCGAGTTGGCCTACCTATTGGCCATCCACCGAGCTCTGAAGGTCCAAGTCTTGACAACGGTTTTGAACGTCCAAGTCCGACAGTTCTGACGTCCTGAAACGAAAGGGAAGACGGACCGGACGGAGAGCCGAAGGGCGCGCTCGAGACGGGGGGTGAAATTCATCGTGGTGGAGTCCTGGGCACTGGGCACTCGGTATCGATGTGGTGGTGGTGCGAAAGCGGAAGACGACGAAAAGGGGTTGCTGCTCACGGTGAGTCTGGAACATCCGTTGAACGTGCTTTTACCAGGAGCCCCGTTCGTAGCGTCCGAACGCTCCGTTCGTAGCGATGCCCTTTGCTCCTAGTAGCTTCTTGTTGCTAGTAGTAAGAATGCTCCTAGTAGTAAGGCCAGGAGCCCCTAGTAGCTTCTTGCTCCTAGTAGCGATGCCCTTTGCTCCTAGTAGCGTCTATCTCTACTTTTTCCTTTTTCCGCGGCCAGGAGGCCTAGGCACGACTCCGCAGCTGAGATCTCGCCGGAATGGCCAGATCGGGCCGAGGGCAACACCTTCTGCCTGGAGGTGCTATTTTCTTTCGTTTTTCCGCTTAGACATTCTCTCAAAAGGCCGAGCTACAAGGAGACGTTATTTGGGAACTGAATGACTAGTGGATTGACTCTATGCTGACCCAGATGAGGAGGTTTTGCTGAGCACTATCGCACATGCACCGCGAGAGAAAAGCAGAACCTGCTGAATCAACCTCAAGTCAGTCACCAAGCATCTACACATCCAATTTAAAGCGTCAGTGATTGAAGAATCAGACGGACACATGCAAGGAACACAGAACGAACGCAACGACAGCGCTTTCTGGCATCTCAAGTTCCACCTGGGATTGAGAGGCTTGATGAAATCAAGGCGACTGAAAAAAGAAACACTCAGTGCAGGAGTGCAGTCGGCAAGGTCCTTGTGGATGGACGTAAGCGTGGGGATGAATTCCTACAGTCGAATACGGGCCAGTCGTGAAGGGGCAAGTCGATGGGGAAGTCGTGAGGTGTGGATTTCCACAGAATGCCAACGAGTTCTGTAGTTCAGGAAGCCGATAGCCAGGAACACATTCAGAACTATACATGAACTCTACTATATACATATTATATATAGGTTGATCGGCAGACACATCCGACTAACCCATACCTCACAGTGCTTCTCTGGTGCAAACCAATCCAAAAGTACAGCGCAACATGTTTCCTTGGCTAGGCTTGAGCAGAACTCTTAAGAAAATAAGGCTCTTTTTCAAACAGATCTTTTTGATCTTTAATGTTCCTCAACTCCTAATCCTAGGTTGGCCGCAAAAGGTTTCAATGGAGAGCTGGACCCGGTCGATAAACGCAAAGCGACCCATTCGATGTGATCGAATCAACTTCTACGGACGACTTGTCTACTTCTTTGGAGCGGAGCCATCATTTGACGTCCTCCAAGAAGGGCAGAGGATTCCAGCACTTGTTTAAAACACATGGGTTCCTTTTTGAGACACCCAACTTGCAACACTTCTGATCACTAAAACGAACCAAACATGCAGACTCAATGGGTTATTTTCTCCGAATCAGGCATGCGGATCCGGCTCGGGGTGGTAAACGGGACCCAACGGTGATGTCGTTCATCTACGGCCTTCCAAAACAGGTCTGCAGAAATCCTCCGTGTCGCGCTCTGAAGCGCTCTGAAGAGCCGGCCCTCCTCCTCCTCTACTCCGCCGTTCCGACAGCTCTTCGGACAGTGGGACGAGCAGACGATTCACAGTCCCAAATGGATTTTAGTAAGGCGACCCGCCAGCCCAATGGGGTTTCATTGGGTTTTAGTCTGTCTATTTTTTCCTTCTTTTTAGGGGCTCCGAACGTTTGGGAGTTTTTCTATTTGAGCTACACACGTCCCACGTCGGGAGGACCCACGTCCCACGCCACGTCCCAAGCGCCGACTTGCCGGACACCGGTTGTGATCCGTTGTGCCGTTGCACTTGTGACGTTCGTAAGGCCAGGAACCGCCCGACGTTTGTAGCCCTTCTCGCTCGGTTCAGCTACTCGGCCTCCAACCGCTTCGAACGCTCGCGTAGGAAGGAGATTGTGCGCATCTTGGGGCATTTGCCGCTGATCCGCGAGGCGACGCTCGCTCCGCGGGTGGTGTTTTCGGCGGGACTCTGCCTCGCTGGACTCGACGTGACGGACGACTGGTTTTTCTGTCAAGAGGAATGATTCAAAGCGATCTGGACATATCTGGACTGGGTTCACGTTCAAGACACAACTTGGATTCCTTTTGCTCTTTCAAAGCTGCGACACCATGCTACACCCTTGGGCCAAAAGGGAGGTGCAACATGACACCAGACTTCGATCCCAAGTCTTTCAGTCTAGAAAGCCGCCGTCCTAGTGGCCCGCATTGCTTCGACCGGGCGAGACCCCAATCTCGTCTCGTCTCGTCCTCGTCTCCTCGACCGGTCGTCACCGCCCAGTTTCGGGACCATCCCGGAGAGCGGCCGGAGCGCGGCGAGCGCCCGGGCGCCTGGCGGCTGCGATGATGGCTGGGAGTTTTCTGAGTTCGTTTCAACTCGTGCACTTGGTGCTTTGGGCGGTTTTCGATTCTTTCTGAGAAGTGTGAAGAGCTTCGGTCTCCCCAAAACTCACGGGCCTTGGCCAGACGTGCAAAGTTCTTCGTGGCGAAATGCAGCACTTGCAGTGTGAGGGATTTACGCCGAATAGCCCAAAGCAGACTCTGGCATGTTTCTGCATGTGCAGGTGCATTGAACAGAAGGGATTCCCGACCTAGCACCCAGATTCCGAAAAGGAAATGAGTGGAGAGGTTCCTGGAATTGAGATGAAATTAGTATTGTCGAGTATTTTGGGGAAAGGATTTCCGAAGGAATTCACAGAAGGAACCAGTTAATAAGAATGAACTGAAAGGCACGAACACAAAAATAGAGCTAACGTTTCTATTTTTGCAGCCAACAAAAACGATTCAGCTTCATTTGGGTGCCAGTTATTTAGGGGCAATCAGCTGTCGGGACCACAAGGAGAAAGAATCATCAAAGAAGCAGAAGAAAAGGCAGCAAAAACAAGCAACTTCCTGCAAGCAAGCAACCATGAATAGGCAACATGATTCAATCCCAATGACGCACCAGAATGATCTGCTGCTGAAGTAAAGAACACAATAAAGACAAGCAAATGGCAACCAATCAACAATGAATAGGACCATGATGTATCACATATTTGGGGGTTGGTTTCTTCGCACGTTGGCGTTGGCGGTCGTTCCGTGGAGTTCCACCGACGGCTTGTTGTCACTTTGGAGGCTTTTGGCCCAGGCTACGTCACCGCTCCTTACGTCACCCTCAACCATTTAATTCAATAAGCCATTCGGTTTGTGCCACAACTGCGACGTTGACCATAACGGGATCTTTGATCATAGCGCTGCGAAGCTGTTTTGGACTTCCTGGCCCACAGCGCACAGAATTAGCCCCTGGCTTCGCTTACGAACCTCTGAGAATCAGTCAACTGATCAGTTGGTTCCTTGTTGAACCTTCTGCAAGGAATAGACACATGCCCTCGTTTCAGCGGAGTGGGACTCGTCTTCGAGGCCGTCCCAACCACCGACCGGTCGGCCGTTTTCACGAACTCAGGTGGTGAGCCGCTGACAGCTCGGCCACGGTCTAGCTACTCCACCCGGCCTCAGTCGAGCAGACCGGCGCGCCCGCAGTCCAGCCACTCGGGTGCGTTGTTCGTTTTTGGAGGCCCCTTTTGGTGATGGGAAAGCGCTAAAGACTATAAGAATGATGACAGGTGCTTCACCCGAAAGGGCCAGAGTCTAGGATCCATCCATTGCAATTTCGGTGGTAGCAGGGCGTTTGAGCAGTCAACTGGATCTGTAGCTGCTTTGTAGCATCTGCAGTTTGGACAAAACGCTGGGTTTGTGTTTGATCTGAGTTGCCGAGTTGGGTGTCAGAGAACTTTGACTATCTTTGACTCAATTGCATTTTCGGGCACGAACCACGCAACATGTTGTTTTGTTTCGTTCGCTTTCTGCCGGGAAGTGATTGTAGCGAACGGGATGCCGGTTTGGGTCTTGTTCAGTGGTACGATTTGTTTGTGCTCTTATCACATTGCAAACTGTCCTTCGGGGTCTTTCTCAGCCCAGGTGGAGGGAGAGCACAAAAAGGCGCAATCAGCAGGGTCTGGGTGTGAGAGTGGTGTCTCTGAGCACAGGGTGCGCAGTGCTCGGAGCTGTAGGATGGTAAGGACTGCCCCCCCAATAGAACTGCCCCTTCGTCCGGACTTTGAGGTACTCGTAACAAAAGGATACCAAGCTCATCGTCCGAGTATGGTTGGCGTGAACCCTTTGCGTTGTTGACAGGCACACCGTTCCAGGGCTTCCATAGACTCACCACCCGCACATTTGTGGGGGACATTGGCGAATTGTCAACAGTTCCTGGACATGCTGCCCTCCAGAGCACCATCTTAGGAGACAAAGACACGATGTTGCGTCCCCCTTGCGTGAGTTTCTATGCCAGGTCAGGGTTGAAGGCAATCAGAAGCACCGGATCAGAGTTCGCAGCTTTTTTTTTCAAAGGATCAAGAATTCCGGTGACCAACGAGCGTCTTTTCATCAGCCAGGTCATACCCCTACAGCGGCACCACACAGTGCCCGGTACGTGCCAAGGCGCTTCGTTTGCGCCGTGTGTTTCCAGGTGAGTAAGCACTTTTGTCGATTCTTTACTAAAGTAGTCTACTGAATAAAGATAGGGTCCCCACATAAGCGAGATACCTTTTGTTGATGACACTCACGCTAAAGTCTGAACGAGAAGCTGTGACATGACCTCCTACTTCAGTAGCAAAACCGAGATTAGGCCCCCCACAGTGATAGATCGTGTATGTTAGAATTCATATCTTCTTCCTAGGAACAAAGAAGCTACGAACGGGGTTCCTGGCCTCGCTACGAACGGAGCAAAGAAGCTATTTAGAGTCATGGGGCCCAAAACAGGTGGGGCCGAAGGGGGCCGAAGGGGGCCGAAGGGTCGAACACGCCGCATGCGCTCCGTTCGTAGCGAACCTTGTTACTATAGTAGTAAGAATGCTCCTAGTGGTAAGGCCAGGAGCCCCGTTCGTAGCGTCCTTTGCTCCGTTCGTAGCGATGCCAGGAGCCCCTAGGAGCTTCTTGTTCCTAGTTCCTAGTAGTAAGAATTCCACTAGTAGCCTAGTAGCGATGCCCTTTGCTCCTACCCATCTCATCCAGGGACAACTTTTCTGCAACTTGGCTGGGCGGCTTATTGTCGCGCCATGTTTCTGGCAAGAAGGACGATCTTTGCTGCCCTGAAGAGCGAAATTCAGGGCAGTTCACGGCAGGTCGGACGTTCGGGTCGAACATGTTGCAACATGTTGGGTCACCCGGGGGGGGGTGAGGCACGTCCAAACGTCCGCCCGCGAAGCCTCGCCAGGCCGCCGATGTCGGCTCGCAAGCAGGCTGGTTGGAAGCCGAGAACCGCACCGATGCCGTGGATTGGCGGACGGTGACCCCCCGGCTGCATCGGGGTCTGCTTTTGACTGCATATGTCAAGTATGGTGCACATGTCAAAACGTGTTTTGAGCAGGATCTTTTCAGGAATTGGCTGGTTCATTTTTTCGGTCTCAGGGTCTCAGGGTCTCGAGGTGACGTCTGCGGTTTTGACGAGTGAGTAGAATTACATATAATTACGTAAATTTAGGTCTTTGAATTGATTCCCTAAGTCACCATGGGTTCTGAACGAATGCAGCAAGTTGCAGTCGCAAGTCAAGTTGATGGCTCTTGGCAGTTCCCTCTGCTGTGAGAGCAGCGAACTTGGCCCAGATTTAGAAGTTGTGTCCCACTTGGCTGGTTTTGGAGGTGGTACGGGGGAATGCTTTTGGTTGTTTGAAGGCACAGAAGACCATGCACCTTACTGAGATAATTTTAGGTTTGCTGCGAGGAGAGAAGACCGAAGAAGGCTGAACAGATGCTCGGTATACCGCCCTCACCAGTGGACTCAGAACTTCCAAACAGGTCCCCAGCTGGACCATGTTTTGTGACATGACATGTGGCTTGAGACCTCGATCGATTCAGCCGAAATTGGACTCACCACAACCACAGCTTCCAGACTTCAACGAGCAGGACCAGTCGCCAGTCTGTGCCAGGCCTGGGATGCTCCCAAGTCCGCACGAAGGCGGCTCGTTTTGGTCGGGAACGACGGATCGAGGTCGATCGAGGTCGAAGGAGCGCCCGGAAGGTGGAAAAAAGGAACCGACTGACCGGTACTCGACTGACCGGAGGTCAGGATCGCATAAACCGGGAGCGACCGGGTCGGTCGGTGATTTTTTCAAGAGGCAATGTGAGCGCACCGAGAGATTCGCAAGGTCTAAGGCTTTCTAAAAGGCCCAAAGGCGAGTGATGTCGATCCAAAGCTGGTCCCGCAAGGACATCCAGTGGGAAGGGTCACTGTTACGGACCAAGGAGTCTTTGCCCTTTGGTGGGGACTGAGTATTCCAGCATGCAACATGCGTCTTTTTCTACATTTACCCAGACACTCCATGTATCGAATATATACCTATATTGACCCCTCGAACCGTCGAACCACTCCAATCTATAGCTAAATATGACGTACGTGGAGTGTCTGCGAGAAAGCTCCATGTCCGTGCTTCTCTGCATTTTTCGTTTCGGGGCGTCTTTGGAGCTCCTTTTCACTGGAATTCACTCCTTGGGAAGGTCCTCACTGACTGGGCTCCGAACCCCGAACTCACCACACCGAACCCTCGGACCATCCGCCCCGGACCAACCGTCAGTGGTCACCGGACCAGGCCTGAGAGTCGGCCGGAGGAGTCCAAGCAGCTGGGCGCTCAGCCGGGTTTGGTTCATCAATCGAATTCAGTAACTCTGGGAGGATGGCAGCACCATGCTGGCATTGCTGGAGATCTCAGCATCTTTGATCCATGCGCAGCATCTGGTCCATGCGCAGCATGGACATGGCTCAACTGCTCCAGGTCCGATCTCGTTCCGTTGTTTTGGTGAACAGCGCCCCCCTTTCGATCGGAAGGAGCGCGGGTTTTCTGCCGGGAATTGACACGGTGGGGTACTGGGCAACATGAGATTGAACGGTATCAGTTGGATCTGTCGGAAGTTACGTCTAACAGTCAGCAAACGGTTATCACTTATTTTTGAAGAAGGCCATTCCTAACCATCATCATCCACTGCTGGCAGTTGCTTTTGCCGTGCTTGGTATTCTTTTTTCTCACTGGATGTCAGGGGTCTATCGGAGGCCGTTTTGAGATATCCCAGGGGCACTCAGAGTCATGTGCAGGGAAGAAAGACTGGGGTGTACACAAGGACTCTTGGAACATGTTGGAGCCACCGAGACAGGCCATGATGCTATAACTTGAAGTCCCCTGACGAGGGAGAGTCGATCTTCACAGATTCACAGATCGCATGGGCATCTACATAGGGATCATCTTAGTGTACGAAGGTTCAACTGCTTCATCCATGAAAACCCGCCAGGTTCGGCAGACATTGGAAGATCCAGACGGCCAACATTCATAGAATTCAATCATATTCACACCAACGGCCTGTGATGATTACCGCTTCTGAATTCTCTCACCAGTCAAAATCTGAGGCAGATCCGCCGCCCTGCAGCGCTCTTGGAGGGGTGGATTTCGAAGCCCGTTTTGTGTCGTGATCTGAACCACCAGAGCGGGAAAAAAGATGTGTTCTATATTTTTACACTTTTTCTTTGGACAAAACCACGTCCTTAGTATTGTTCGTCTGATTATGATTCAATTTCTTCACATCTGCATGGGATGCTTTGATATGTGGCTTTCTTTAGCATGTTTTTTTGTTTTAACTTCAAAGGCTTTGAGGGATTCCTTGACCATACAAGGCACAGCCATGTTTTCAATTTTTGAATGCAAAACCTTCCTCCCTTCTGATGTATTTGAGTCAAAACTAGCAACCTCAACCAATCGACAGGGTCTTGGAGTTTCTTGGATCACACGGCGCGTCAATGATTTGCCATCAATGAAGACTCCAAGTCCAACATCCTGGAATAGGCGATGTTGGCAGATCTCACCAACATCAACTGGTCAGAACATTGAATGATCAGTTCTGGCAGATCACTGATGAATTCAGGGCACCCATGGGCACAGACGCTTTCTCTCTACCGGTCACCGGTTGCTTTTCACCGGTCGTGCTTTTCACGACCGGTCAAAAGAAGAACTTCCGGGTCTTGGAACGCGACTCGAGCGACTCGGGCGACTCGGTGCCCGTGACGGGTTTGGGTGGTGACATGGCTCGGACACCGGCGGCCTTGCGTCGCTCAGGCCACACCAAGAGAAGCAGCTCAAGAGGTGACGACGGGCGCGTGGACGACGGGCTGTTTTCTTGGATACAGACATGGTGAGCCAATCCATGCCTCCAAATGTAGGATTTCTATGGATTTTTGGTCAACAAATGCCATATCTGGGTGAATACATCTCTAATGCGGTTGCAGCTTGAACCTGTGCCAGATAGGAATCGTGCATGCCGCCCAACCAGTCGACTGATCTCCTTGAGCGGCCGTGATGAACACATATGAACATGTCTTCAGACCATCGACGCGGCCACTCAGCCGTTCACATGTCGTTAAGGATCGTCGAAAAAGTTAAAACTTCTGCAGTTGAGCAACTTTCAACTTTGAACTCTCAGTGTAACAAGCCACACATGCCACCCTCCGCAACATTTGGACCATTTGACCCCCCTAGCAAGTTGCTCCGAAATTCAGCCGCTTCCGCATCACCATCTCTTACCGCCAGGGTCGCCTTCGGTCTCCGTGTCCGGTGGCCTTCTTCGAGAATCAGCAGGAGGTGGGGCAGGGGAGCTGGAGAAGAGTTGGGTGTCACGAGAGGATGACTGCGGATGTGTGAGCATGAACAGCCACACCTAAGGGCTTGATTTGCGTTTGATGTATGTCATGGAGTCATGTATGTTGACGTTTCTTTTCCTTGGTTTAGTCTTTTTTAGCGAGTTGTCTACGAGTCTACTTGTACCTCTTTGGAGATTGCCCACTTTAGATGTTGATCCACCTCTTTGGGTGTTCCTCGGCCTCGCCGTGAAAGAGCCGAGAAATGCCATGACCTCGATCACAATGAGCAAGGTCATGATCTCGAGCCAAGAAGGGCCGAGTTTGAAAGAAGGAAAGGACAGAACAGATAAGAACAGGAACAACACGCACAAAAGGAAAGAGGACACGCATCTTCTTCAACGAAAAGAGCTGTCCGCTGATTCGAATCCATTCTCCTTCTCGACGGATTCGGCTCTGTCCAGGTGGAGGAGCCCAAACTCCAAGCGCACGAAGAGAAGCCAGGGCCTCGACCGAGAAGACCGCGATTGGAAGAGGTTGGAAGACTGCTACTATGTAGTAGCTTCTTATTGTTAGTAGTAGTAAGAATGCTCCTAGTAGCGATACCAGGAGCCCCTAGTAGCGTCCTTGCTCCTAGTAGTATGGCCAGGAGCCCCTAGTAGCGATGCCCTTTGCTCCGGGCACCACCCGCACCGCACTTTGAAAGAAACAGTTGGAACAAGTTAGAAGCGATGGCCTCCACGCTAGTAACTTGTGCAGAATTAACGATGTTCCTGGACGTCACTGTCACCAGTTACTGAGTGCTTGAGAGTCAGTAGAATAGCAAAGTGCTTAAAGGGGTATGTCTACTGCTGGTAGACATAATATACATGTGTGTGATGGGCTTCAAAAGTCTTATTGGGTCCGACCCTGACTCCGAACCCGCTAGCAATCGGTGACTTCCTTTCAACTCCCAGTTCCACAAAATATATACCCGCTGCGGACTCGGAGCTCGAAAGGATCATTCGAGCCCCTAGTAGGCCCTAGTAGCGTTCTTGTTCCTAGTAGAAAGGCCACTAGCCCCTAGTAGCGTCCTTGCTCCTAGTACCATCCAATGGGTCAACCAATGGACTACCCTCCACTACTTAGGCATCTCGATTGGACACCCAGACAGGATGGTCCAGGTATACATCTATAATAATATATTGGCAGGATCTCAAACATATGACAAACGGTGATCGTCGCGGCATGCTTTGCGCATGATTGCCCTTTGAGGCCTCCAGTGCAGGAGGAAGCCTGGTATCAGCAGGTGGCAGAGAGACCGGAGAATTGGGTACTGAAAGAAACCAGAAGACGGACGATCAATTGGAGCCCCGGTGTTTTGGGGCGGTTTCATACGGTTTCGTGGTGCTTGCTCAGACCACTTGCGCCGACAGGAATTTCTGGTCAACCATGACTTTGGGACTTTACATCTGTCCACTTAGTCTGAGTTGTCCACCTGGAGCTGTGAAAGGATCTACCTACCCGAAGTGACGATCAGTTGGAGAGGGGTTGAACATGGAAGCGAAGAATGCATGGGCTCCAAACTCAGAACCACCTAGAACCCACGAAGCCAGTGAACAAGGGACCAAGCACCGTTGGAGAAGACATCCTTGGTTCGCTTCTTTGTGCTTTGGGGTGCATGGCTCGCGATGTTCGGAGGTTGATCGACTCAGACTGACTTCACGCATGGCTCGCATGTAGACAGCGTAGAAAGAGAACACGCACCTCCGCCGGATGTTCTGAATGCGTGTCTTCCACCTTGGAAGCGATGGATGTTGAAGACTCTTCAAAAGGTCCTAGTAGCTTCTAATTAAAGTCTAATTAAACTTAATTCTAGTTTAATTTGTTCAATACTTATTTCTGGTTTCTATGAGCTTCTTGCTCCTAGTAGGAAGGCCAGGAACGTAGCGTCCTTGCTCCTCAATGCTGGCTGGCCAGTCTGACACAGTCTGACATAGAGTCTGACACGGGGGCCAGTTTTCTCAGAGAGGACCAGGATCTTCGACTGTCCTTGAGGCCACAGGAGGTCACAAACAGAAAAGTAATGTTCTATGAATTTCTACTAGCAATGGCAACCCAATAGCGCTGGCCTCCAATCTAGAAGCGATGGCCTTGAACCTAATAAAAGGTCTTGAAACATCGCGAACTGATCGCGAATTGTGAAGTGCAACTTGGACTTCAAGTCATGGTTGTCAGGCCATGAAGACGGCAGCAGCCTCGGCCAGGCGTGTTTGGTTGGAGGGCGTCTTCGGGCGCCCCAACCGTGTTCGATCCCGAAAGGGAGGGAAACTCGGAAGCCGGGTGCGACCAATCTCAGGTCCGGTCCAGGGATTTGGTCGAGAGTTTGGGCGGAGCTGCTACTCCCCAGGAGACACGCAAGAAGGTAACGTTGACACAAGGTTTATTCGAGGGGGCTGGATAGATCCTCACTTCAAAAGGTTTGTCCTCACTTCACCAGGTCTGTGAGCGGATTCCGGCCTTTGTTTGGGAGAAGCACTGGATTCCGGCCAGCAGTTTAGGTGTCCTCTTTGATTGTCGTTGAGTTGATTTCGTTGCCAGTCTCTTTTGGGCGGGCAAACTCGAGACTCAAAATCCACCCCCACCTCCCACCTGATGTTCTCTGAGAATATCTTGAAGGGAAGCTCCTGGTACCGTTTGCAGGCCTCAAAAACCAATAGGACCCAAAAGACACCCTTTTTTACGCGAGACTGGTGAGTTTTCTTGGATGCTAGCTGCTATCAGTTGCTATAGTAACAATAGAGCTACTAGTATGTCTTTGAAGCTACTAGTAACAAGAAGCTTCCTTGAGACTCGTTTCACCGGATGACTTTAATTAATTGCAGCTATCAGTTGCTTGTTTGATCGCACAGTATCTCGCGGATCGCACCGTGGCGGTCAGGCTTGGATTTGCCGCGATGCCTCTTGAAGATGAGGTAGGACCTTGAAGCTTGTGGTTCAATATGGACCTTAGCTATCCATAAGAATACATATATGAGAAATCATGAGAACACATGGATATCCGTGGTAGTGGAGGGCACCTATAGCCTGATGAATGCTCCTATTTAGAATATATAATATCAGAATATGGTCTCCTCCGCACGATATACTTTCCTTCGTGAGGGTTCTTTGTCCTTTCCTGCTGGCTGGCACCTTTGGCATGCTTTTCTGCGCACATGCTGTGCACATCGAGCCGAGTAGGGCAGAGATGGGCCTTAGATGGGCCTTAGAAAATGGTTCGCCGTAGGCGCTAGACCGTTCGAGTGAATCTCTCAGGTTCCGGTCCGCCGAGACAGCGAAGAAGCCGCCGTCGGGGGGCCCCTGAAACAGCGCGACAAAAACTGCAGGGACGGAGGGACGGAGGGTCTCACCTTTGGAATGACCGTGTTTTCCTTTTTTTGACACCCAATGGGGGGTGAACAAAGGGTATTACTACTAGTAGCAAGGACTCTACTAGGCGGAGGCCATCGCTATTAGGAACACATGCCGGGAAAACATGGGTATACCTGGACCCTCATTCAGGCTCAAATTTATGCCTGTTCAAACAAATCTGCCTGAACCAGGGTTTGTCCTTAAAAATAGTCTGCGGGAAGAATCGGCGAGAATCGGCATGATTCAGGCGTGAATTTTTGTGATCGGGTGAGAATTTGTGTGATCGGGCGGATTTCGTAGGCTCAAGTTGCATTGCATGTATTCATCACTCGCAGACTCTATCTCTGAGTAAAAACACCTTCGGGCGAGAATTCGGTCGGGCGTGAAAACCATGTTGCCAGAAATACTGCCTGCAATGGATTCGGGCAATTCTAGCCTGGACGAGTTCCTGCCCCCTCACGAAGCGGGTGGGACATCGGACCTTCCAGGTCCGTGGACTGGTGGATTCACCTGGAACAGTCACGACCTCTTCGTGACTGGCTTCGACTTGGTGCGACTGGCACAAGTCCTTCACCCACCGAGTTGGACCTGGTCGACTCCCCCGACCGACCGGTCCGGTTGCCACGTACCGAGGCGCGGACGCGGTACCTTCGGAAGCTGGCGGAGGCGCGGTACCGAAAGCTGCGCAGATGGAACGTCGTGAAATGAAGTATATACGGAATGCAATGTACATAATAGACTAAATATATATAGTTTAATTATTAAGGTTATATATTAAACATACTGTACATGAATGATTGGAAGAAAGCAAGGTCGGTGAATTGCTTAATATATAGTCAGTGGTTTCAGTGCAAGACTTTTTCCTTGCTTTCTGGCACTGCATGTATGTCACTTGATGCGATGCTTGCAACTTCCCTTCTGAGAGGCACATCCCGCACAGGGCGATTTCTTATGATTTCTCATTACCAACAATCTGGTGAATCTCAAGAGCTGACAAGCTGACAATTTTTGCTTCTACGAACCGAAATCCATCTCTGGGCCAAGCCCTCTGTCTCCCAGCATCACAGGTGGGCATCGATCCTGAGGGCATGACCGCGGGTGACATCCTACGGTCCCATGGCGTTCCGGGGGTCGCTTTCCGGGGCAAACACTGGCGGTGAGAGAGCGGCGACGGCGGGTGGGATGAGGCGAGGACGCGGGACGTGGTGAGCGAAGGGGCACATGGCAGTGATGCTTTGAGGTGCTGGCAGATGCTTGCAGGGTGCTTGTGCGGGTGCTGAAGTGGAGACTTCATGAGAGTTCTATATGGTGTTCTAGTAACTAGGTTGTTCTACAAAAGAAACTTTGACAGGACAAGTCCATGCCCTGCTGCACGAAAAGCTTTCGGGGTCAACCTCTACAGTTTGGAGACGGCGAACTGCGAACATCACTCTGCTGGAGAGGTGGAAAGAAATCCAGGGCGACCTAACCTAAGAGCGCTGGCCTCCAACCTAATAGCAAAAGGAACCTAATAGCAATGGCCTCCAGCCTAGTAGCGATGGCCTCCAACCTCCTGTTCTTTCGTGGTGCCGAAGTTGTGACACATTCCGATGTCCTGCTTAAGTGGAGTCCAGACTGCCAGACCGATCCGTCTGCTTGTTTGAAGGCCAGCAACATGGTGAATCATTGGGCAGATGAGGGCATCGATTTTCCACGCGGACGTTTATATGTCTGTCTCCGTTTTGCTTCTTTCCTGTAGCAGATTAGAATATCAGCATTTTACTTGGCGACTTCTCAGAAATTCATTGTGTGTCTCGCTACTCTTCAGTGACGCATGTGTCTGCCGTCGATTCGCGAAGCAAGCAGCCCATGTCTCTGACAATTGAGGCTGCTGTATGTGGGAAGCTCAGGGGGGTTGGAGCTGGCCCAATTTTGCAAACATGAGAGCCCAAGATACTTGCGTCGGCCGAAGGGTCGCTTGGGAGATGATGCCCTTTCTGATCAATTCAGGTTGTTTTAATCGTTTGTTATTTCGGTTATTTGTCCCAGCTAAAGCAGTGCAGGTGCATGTGTGTGCTTTTCAATGAGATCAACCAAAATGAGCCAATCATTTGGCTTTTATGACTGCAGATTGCAAGTTCTCCCCCGAAGGAGAACACTCCTCCTCCCAAGCGCATCTCGATGCCGGGCTCCGGGCTCCGAACGAACTCTCGCAGGCCAGGGACAGCAGCACCACTTACAGACGAATGAACAAGGAGGCCACGGACCTTCGGATCGGTCGGGGGGAACTCGTGGGAGCTACGTGAGCTGAAGTTGCCAGGAGCTACCCCTTGTTCGGAATTTGCCTTTCTTAGTTCCGAACCCGAAACAGATCGACTGCCGAGTCCGCTCGGGGGATGTGGGCTCATGCCCTTGTTCCGTTCGCAGCTACCAAACTCTTCCTGGTTTGCGTCCACTTTTCTCAAGGCTCAGAAGAAGCTACTCGTGAGGGTCAAGACGCCCTTGTGCATGCGGACCGCGGAGAGCTTAGTCGGTTGAGATCTTTGTGGTGCAAAACCTTGAGAATGTGTGAATTTGCAAAGAGTGTGCCTAGGTAGAGGTCAGTATAGGTGAGGTGGCAATGAGCCTATAGTATAGAGCTGGGGCTCTCAGTAGACCAAAGATGACAGAATTCCAAGGAAACATGTTGTCTGTCTCAAGCGTTCCTTCTTCCATCTGACTTCGCCCCAGTGTCGTCATCTTCGGGCTCTCATCGATCCGGGTTTTTAGCCCCGACCTCGTCGCACGTGAGGTGCTCAAGGAACGGGCAGTGCAGGAGGTCGTGGCCGCAAGGGACAAGCCTGTTGGAGACTCGGGCGAGGCTGTGATCGACTGATCGACTCGGTCTCTCCGCATCCACCCTTTGGTCCACAACCACCTTGTCTCGCTGTGCCAAAAGCAAGTCGAAGTTCGGTGTTGCAAGAGCAGCCCAATTCAACAGCTAGCCTCATTTGCATATTGTTGAGGCAGTCGAGCACCATGGCTGAGTGTTGGCACGTTGCCATAAGATCTTTGTGTTTCCTCGTTTGCACATTGGTGTGGAGAATGCTGGACAAGCATGGCAAGTCTCGATAGGAGGTCGCTTGATCACCGGTACTCTGTTGGGGTTCATTTGAAGGAAATGGTGGTGTTTCACTTCGAGCGCTAGGGCTCAACTGCCGGGAGAAACCGCTCCTGTTCGGCCTCGGCGCCGAACACCGGACGCACCGAGGCTGAGCAGGTCCACGAGTGTTTGGACCGCTGGGAGATCGACACCTTGGCAGAGGCGAGAAGCTGGAGAGATCGGCTGAGTGTTGCAAACGCTACCGGGAACAAGGCACCTTACTACTAGTAACATCTAGTAACAAGAAGCTACTGGTGGCTCCTGGCATTACTACTAGGAACAAGAAGCTACGTAACAAGGTGCATCGCTGCTGGTAGCAGCGGACGCTACGAACGTCGGTTTGTTGCGTCGCACCGGAGCACCGGCACTCTCGCCATTTGTGGATGACTAGGACAACGAGTGAATCATGACCAGTTGGATGGGTTTAGGTGTTTCTTGCATACGGTAGGTATATACTGTACTTTTGAGGGGCAAACCAGGAGTTGGATTCACTTGGTGTTTCTACAGTATTATAGCAATTGATGTTTCGACTGGACATCTACACTATCTCCGAGGCATTCGTCAGCATTGCAGTGTACCTTCTCAAAGTCTTTGACATTCCAAACAGGACGCTACTAGGGTCTCCTGGCCTTACTATGCCTTCCTACTAGAAACAAGAAGCTACTAGTAACAAGGTTTTCGTCCTTGACTCCGGTGAGTTTTGGCATTTTGCTTCCCATCTCCCACGGCCGGGCCGTGGCGACATGGGTCTGATGGTCAAGTGTTGGGGACCAGGCCATCGCTAGCGTCGCTAGTCCGCCGGTTTCGCCAAGGTTTGCCGCAGCCTGAAATACTTCGATGAGGAGACTGAGACTTCAGACCAAAGACCTGGAAACCGGTCTTACCGCTTTGACATCTCTAAAGACCTTTTGACCCTTTGAGAGCACCTTTATTCACCTTTTCTCTATTGGTGTTTGCATTTTGCCAGTTATCTCCAGTGATTGGAGTGTGCTAGATGGTCTGAAGGGCCCTTCATGGATGGGTCCAATTTGCTGCCCTACTGGCACCATGGCCAGTGTGTGATTTTTTTGTGCTTAAGAGCCTCATAGACCAGGGGGATACAGGCGGACCATCACCTGCACCTTACTATTGTAGGTGATGGTGGGAGAGAGACCTTCAGCGCAGTCAACTTTCTCCCACAGAGGTGCATGTCATGAATCATGAGAATATAGAATTCTTTAGAATTCATTAGAGCCTCTCAACATCTAATTACTTGGTGTTGCTTGAGCTGTTTCTGTAATCTACGGCCTAACAGCCTAACTCTTCCTGCGGAATGACCAACTTAATTCATTTACAGGGTAAGGAGAGAAGATCTGACATAATCATGAAACATGTATACCCTAGCCTTGCAAGACCATTGACAGAAAGGTTGACCTGGGTCTAATAGTCTAAAATACTTGGTAAAACAACGGTTGTTCGATAAAACCCATTAAGTTTATGTGGTTGGAATCCTAGGGTGCAGCATTATATTATACATGTAACTTATATAACTGATAACATATACTTATATAATCTTATATACTGTATAGCCATTCACCCGATGCTGTCTTCGGAAAAGAACTAGTGTTCCGAACATATTCGTGGTGTATGGCAGCCGCGTGTCATCAATCCTAGAATCAAGGAAACATCTGCGGGTTCCGCTACTAGGGGCTCCTGGCATCGCTACTAGGAGCAAGAAGCTACTAGTAACAAAGGGCATCGCTACTAGGAGCAAGGACGCTACTAGTAACATGGGTTTCCTGCAGATTTTCTCTCAAACCAATTCTGGGGTCTCCCAGCGGCAGTCACAGAGCTCCACCGTGGGAGCCGCGGCGCTGTGAGGAAGCGGCAGGGCAGGTGTCAACGTACCTCCGAAGTTATGGTGGCAGGTTCTGGCCTCAGGGCGGTAGACCAGAAGAAGACTGAACATATATGCGTTTGGCTCTCCAACATATGGTAAATACATGGTTTTATATGGTAAAGTCTGGTATATCTGATGGATTTTCAAGCTTTGGACAGTTCGAGTCTTGCAGGTTTGTCACTGTGGCTCGCTGAAGTCCGGTTCGGGTGAACTTCGGGGCCCTCCGGTCCAAAGTTCGGGGAGCGGCTGGCGCCAGCCGGCTTGGCCTACAAAGCCCTACATGTCTTAGACTGATGGGGGTGATAAACCAGTTTTGGACTTGGCAGATGACTGCCGATCTACTCTCCATTTACTCTATGCGTGGTAGAAGATTATTCAGATCTATTCACTGATCAATGAACACTGAAATCAATTGAATAAGCTACTAGTACCAGGAATTTGTCTGGGTAGTGGCAGCAGCGTCCAGTTGCGCCAGCGTCCGTCAACAAGATGTCTCGAAGCTTTAAAAGAAGTGCGTCAAAGCTGTCCCTGAGAGACACACTGCCTTTCCACGTCGAAACGGTCTTGGGACCACGCAAGGCCTTCAACCAAAAGGAGTTGTTTTAAGTTCATTTCAATATTTCACACCCATGCAATAGTCCTTGTGGGCTGAATTCTTAGCGCGTTCTCGTTTGGATTTCAACTGAGGCAGTACATGGAGCCTTACAAGCGAAAAGCTTATGTTAGACCACCGACCGCCTGAAGGATGAGATTCCGACGGCGCAAAAGCCCAAAGATTGGCGGCCCGACGTCGGCGGTGGAAGGACGTCGTTGGGGAAGGGACGCGTTTGGTGAAAATATAGTAACAAGGTTCGCTACTAGGAACAAGTTATAAAGATGGGGAAGAAGTTCCGGTTGAACATGCAGGGATGATGTTGGGTGTGTAAAAGTGACTGGTCAGTGACTGTTGCTCGGAGCTTTGGGTGTGGTTTTGAACTACCAACATTATCTTGCTTGGTCGATTCCACGCTGTTGTCAGCTTGACGGCTGGGCGTGAGATCGACGCGTCGTAGATGCGTTACGATCATGAAGCTGTCACCACAAACGACCAGACATGAACCGACATCCGGGGCCTTCCACCTGACCGTCTGCGACGACTGCGTAGACTGCGCTCCGAACGGAGCGGGAATCATTCTCAGCCGGTGCAGTCTCGCGGATGCGCCGAACGAAAAGCTGAGTGGCCTGATCAAGGAGCACAGAGGGCCCCAGGGATTTCTGTTTTTTGCTTTGGAGTGATTTCTAAGTTCAGGAATAGGTTGGAGGCAGTGTTGGAGGCCATCGCTACTGTAGTAGGTTGGAGTGATTCTAAATCATGCTAAATCATCCCTTTGAGGTCTCGAGGGTTCTACGAGAAGCCTCCCCAGACCTAGAGATGTACGGACGCATTTGCTGGGATTCTTTCGGGCGCTGCTGCGAGAGAGCCAGCCTGCGGCTTTCCAAGATGGGGAGCACTCCAGGTTTCACCGTCCGGCATCGGAGCTAGGAGGCATCGAGCAAAAAATGAGCATATAGATCACTGAGAGATCATCACGACCAGATCATGACCCTGGCAGGCCCTGGAGGGGGGTTTCCCCTTGGGCAAAACAGTGGGCCTTCTCTCACACACACAGAGACCAGATCCCCAATTCGAACGACCTGATTTCGCGAGGTCTGGCCGTTCCCGAGTGGATGGAAAGCGCTGGTTGGGACCGGACACCGGTGTCGGGATTGTCCGAAAAACTCGTTGGAGTGAAAAAGACAGAAAAGGCCAGCCAGTTTTTTTTTTTTCAGAAAGGCTTGCAGTTTACCTGTAGAGGTTCTGCGGTTTGGGGATACCGTGTACGATCTTCAGCTTACTTTGTGGGTCATGGTGAGTGCTCCGGGCTGAGTGTGCATGAAATCATCCGTCACTTTTTGTCTCTTGCGGCAACTGGCTCAAGTTGGTTGCTCAGATCGCTCGATTGGCGTCCCCCGACAGACACGAAGTTTGAGCTTGCTCTGTCAGGCCGGCTAAGCCGCTTCACCAAGCTGCGTCTTTTTGAACCTGAAAACCCTCGGACCTTTGGGGGCGCCAACTGGTTCAGGAGGATCCTTGGATGTTCTTGGTTGGATTGGCTTTGGAAGAGTAGGTCATGAACCTGATAAGAAATGAAAGAGGTGAGCAAGAGACCAACTTGTGTAAGACCAGAAGATCATGAATCAAAAAATCAAGGAGAGAAAGCACCTACGTGCATGCCAATGCCCTATTGCAACAAAAGGAGAAAAGAAAGAGATTCCAAGTGGTAAATCTCAACTGCAAACTCTGGATGTCGGATCCCATTTTGGGATTCAATGGGAGACATACATGACATACATAAACAGTAACCAATCACTGAGGCTAGCAGGAGTATCGGCTGTTCACCTCTGTGCCCTGTCTTCATGGCTCGAGCCAGTACTGGACACTTGCAGGCCCGTGGCACATCTCATACCTTTAACGCAGAGTGTCATCCAAGGCATCGCTGAAAAAAGGTAGTCCATTGACTCGTTGGCACGTCCTCACATGAGGTTCGTCCTCAAGCAGTTGCACAAATGGTGCCATCACTCAACATCCCTTTCACGCGCAGCATCGGTGCGATCGATGATACAAATGCTGGGCACATGAAAACAAGTGGTCAGGGCCGAGTGCAGTCAAATGCGACAGTGACTGTGGGACCAGGTAGAAAGCCATCTTCTCAAGTTGCAGCTAGACACCGAAACATACACAAGAAGGCGACCACAAAGGATACGCACATTTTCAGACGGAAAACTACCCCTCTTGTAAGGTTATGAACTCACCCCTTGACATCACGTCCACCTGTTGAAAAGCCACGGGCTCCCTCCAAGAATTCCGTTTCGCCCTTGAAGAGAGAGAGAGAGAGACAGACAGAGAGAGAGAGAGGGAGAGAGACAGAGAGAGAGAGAGAGTGCACCTACCATCATGTGCCACTCAGGCCTTCCAAACTCAACGAAGCATGTCAAAACCATGGCGATGAAACTACAAGCCACAAGAGCATGGGCGAAGTAGAAATGACTTTGGTGCATGTCATGGCTCGATTCGCAGAAACGACGATGGCGCACTTCTGATAGCCACGGGACGTGAACCCTCGAGCCATAGTGGCTACCATTTTCCTCTACAAGCAGGAGGTTTTTCACTCCCATGTCAGTTCTAGGGAGTGTAATATACTATTGATATATTGGCATAGTTGGGCTTGAACATGCTTGAATGCATGTTGGCTCCTAGTAGTAAGGCCAGGAGCCCCGTTCGTAGCGTCCGATCGCTCCGTTCGTAGCGATGCCAGGAGCCCCGAACGTAGCTTCTTGCTCCTTGAAGGATCGTTTAAGCCCACAGCCTCACACTTCAGACCAATGGAGCTATTTAAGCCCAGGCTTGACGGATGTTTCATGGCCAAGAACACGTCCAGATTTTGACCCATCCTCACTTCAATCCTTTGCCACTTCTGCTGTTGCACCTATTGGATCCTATTGGTGCCAGGCTGACACCAAGTCACTCATAGCCAATCTCCACCTGGATTTGGTCGTCTGGGGGTCCAAGCCCAAAACCAAAGGCATCGCCACTTTCGGCATGTAGGAGGCCATCGCTAGCAGGTTGGAGGCCATTGCTATTAGAAAACAAATGGAAGACAGATCTAACATAGTTTGCTCTTAGGTTGGAGCGCACTTCCTGCACGTTGTTTGCAGCCGGTGACCCACATCGCTTCGGACGCCAAAAAGCAGGGCCCCCACCACTGGACATCGCTTTGCTGCACAGTGGACCCTCAAAGGAACCGACCTCATAGGTCCCATGTGGAAAAAATGAAAAAGACTAGTCTAGTAGCGAACCTAGTAGTGAACCTTGCTCCTAGTAGCGATGCCCTTTGCTCCTAGTAGCGAACCTTGTTACTACTAGTAAGGCACTTGTTACTAGTAGCGATGCACTTGTTCCTAGTAGCGAACCTTGTTCCTAGTAGTAAGGCCAGGAGCTACGTTCGTAGCTTTATTGCTCCGTTCGTAGCGATGCCCTTTGCTCCTAGTAGCGATGCCCTTTGTTCCTAGCTGTCCCATGTTTGGGTCTAATCCACCACCTTCTCACGCGAGCTTTGGCAACACTGGTGCCGTCTTTTGAGGCGATGGTGACGGACAACGACCCCCGAGCGCAGGCGACGACGTCCGCCCGGATCCGGAGGTCTGTTCCTTCGAACCCGAGCATCCGTGGTGCTGGTTGAAAGCAATGGTAGCAAGAAGCTACTAGGGTGGAGGCTATCGGAACTAGTAACAAGGTTCTCTACTGCGTAGCAATTTGGGGTGTAATGTCCTCCTGACTCCACCCATCACAAGCCTGAACGGTGAAGACAAAGCGTCCAAAGGCGCCTGTTCATCGGAGTTCGATTGACGCTGCCGGAGTCCGATTCTCGAGCTCCGTTCGTCGCGTCCGAACGCTCCGGACTCGTAGCGATGCCAGGAGCACCGTTCGTAGCAAACCTTGTTACTACTAGTAAGGCACTTGTTACTAGAAGCGATGCACTTGTTACTAGTAGCTTCTTGTTACTAGTAGATCTAGTAGTAAGGCCAGGAGCCCCTAGTAGCTTCTTGGTTTGCATTGTCCAATTCTTTGCTCCCCATTCTTTCCCCAGAATTGTGGTGAATAGCTGCTGCGAGCTGCTGCGTTCCACAGAGAGGCGGAACTCCATCGGGTGCTTCAGAAGCCTGGCAGGGCAAACTTGTAGCCCTAAAGAATAAATTAGTACTATACTAACAATAATGAGTTACTTTATTTGACACATGTTGCACGACTAAAGTAAAGGAAGCGCCCTTTCGGGTTTACCTATCAATGACCATTTCTTTCGTCTTGGACCTCTAGCCAAAGGGGCCCTTTCTGGAGGACTGTTGTTGGCATCTCAGAGCTTTCTGCTTCGCCAGGGCTCATCTTCGTCTTCAGCTACCCAACGGCGGCGTAAGAAGAGACCGCAGCAGGTGCCGGTCGCTGCACCTCCGCAGTGGGGTTTTGGAATCCAACTTCGCCACGAGCGACACTGTCGCTCGAAGGATGTGGGACACTGTCACTCGACACAGATTGAACCTATCGTATTGGAAGTGTTTTTGTTGAGAGTCTTCAGATCCACACGAACATTGCATCTTAATCAAAGCCTCCCATCAGCATACCCCGATACACCTCCACTATTCCTCCACCTTGGACTGCAATTTGACTAGGTAATTGCTACACATCCTTTGATCATGCAGTATGGCTAAGTCAGACTTGCGCAAATCTACTGCAACATGATTTTGCCACAGATCTCAGAATCTCCTGTCCTTGAGTCTGTGGGAAAGACATTTTTGGCAAGGCAACGCACGTTTACTTTCACCTGTACAACTCATATACCGTGTCCTATGGAAAAAGAGGTTCATGCACCTTGGAACTGACTTTTCAATCTTATGGGGTGCAATTCGTGGCTTCCTTTGCTTGAGGAACCTTTTTTGTGAGAAGGGGGAAACCAATTAAATCACACCAACTTTTGGAATGGCACAGTGATTCGCAGGAGTTTCTTGGAGTAGTTGTGTTCCAAGAAAGCCCCACTTCTCGAGAAACAAGGGATCACCCGGGCCGTGACTTCAGCCAATCAGACACGGTTTTCTTGGTCTTGCAGTATTTCTTCAATGGTTGTTGAGCATTTCAGACTACAAGATCTACATAATGTAGACTCTTGATTAATAACTCCCCCATTTGGATTGCTTTGAATAAACCAATCTACATGTCTCGTCTGTGCTGTGACCATTGAATCTGCCCGCCGCGGGAAATCGGCGCAGGCGCCCTCCAGTTCGGCCCCAGCTGGTACGGAGGCCTTTGGGGCCGGGGGAGACGGATATGAAGAACTCCAATTAGCTTCTTGTTCCGTTCGTAGCGATGCCAGGAGCCCCGAACGTAGCGTCCGAACGCTCCTAGTAGTATGGCCAGGAGCCCCGATCAGAGCTTCTTGTTCCAGCCTCCATGGGACCAGAATATTTATCTACATTGACATCTGAAGCCACCCCAATGTATGTAAAGATTCCATACATGGAGTGTCTGCGGATGTGTCTTGAGACAGGGCGACCGCCGCAGTTCTTCTTCTTTTCACTGGCCGTGAGTCGGGGTGTTGGTTTCGTGATGTTTTGTGTTTCGTATGTGTTCCTGGTCTTGCGTCGTCATAGCCATGAACATATTATAGGGCTCCCCTTTTTTTGACCCACACACCCTTTTTTGGAATCCATCCATTTTTTCTGACCCCCTGAACTGTTTAATTTGACCCCCGACCTTTGGTTTTTGATCCACAACCATTCTTTTCTGACCACAGCCCTTCTGTTTTCACCCACCACCCTTCTTTTTTGATCACCCAGCATTTTTTTTCCAACCCTTTCTTTTTGACCCACAACCCTTCCTTTTTGACCACCAACCCTTCTTTTTCTGACCAACAGTCATTTTTTGGACCCCCCGACCCTTTCTTTTACCCACAACCCTTCTTTCTTGACCCCCCACACCCCCGACCATGTTCTACGAGGGGCAGAGGCATGGAGAGGAACTGAAACAAGTTCCTCGGGAGTGCCAATGGTGAAAGCTGGTTTCTCATGTTTCCTTTTCTCTTCCTCCTTTTGCAGCCTCCCTCTTCATCCTGCGTCCTCCTTTCATGCAGTTCCTGCTGCGACAAGATGTTCTTTAACTTCTGGTGACATAGCCCAGTCAACATGCGGACCCACAACCCTTCTTTTTTCTTGCTTGACCAACAGCCAGCACTCCTTTTTTGACCTTGACCTATCCATTTTCTGACCCCCTGAACTGTTTGATTTGACCACCGCCCTTTTCTTTTTGACCCACAACCCTTCTTTCTTGACCCCTCACCCTTCTTTTTGAACCCCTCACCATTCTTTTTTGACCCGCATTTTTTCAACCAAACCCATGTTAGTTGATTCTGACACTCTGGTTTTGATTGTGACACTTTCATGTTTTGAGTTAAAGGATATTTTGATTTGATTAAGGTGATAGTGTTTAAATCTTAACATTGAACGCATCTATTGATTGTGATAGTACTTGACAATAATGGTGAGCTTTGTATAGACTAAACATGCAAGAGTTGCATTTTTTTGAAGGATGTTGCTAACAAAGTTTGATCAAGTTCCTACACAACTCAATGATGCATCAAGCACTTTGAAAAAATTGGTGCAGTAGCACTAGCTTTGAAGCAATGTAAAGAGACTTGATGTCAGACATGTAACCCTCCAAAAAGAGGGAGTCTAGGCGTGTCACAAAATGCAAAAACTGTAGGGCGTACACAGAGGTGTTCAGTTGTTTCACTGCATATAGGTTGTAACAACTTCTTGTCACACCTTTCTTAGCGTACAACAGCTGTTTAGAAATTGTTTTGGAATTGCTTATTCTTAATAATGTATGTGGACCATGAGGACTGGTGAGTTAACTTCATCACAGGTGCGAACCTCATTTTTCCAACTCAGCATAATTGAACGTTTCTTCAATGCAAAGTCAGCAGGTGCCACAACACTGCCAAGATGTTTCACAGTCAGCCCTGAACATTTGCCCATCTGTTCGTTTGGCCATGCCTGGGAACCTTCAGCAGCAGACAAAGTCAAAGTGCAAGGCTGTGCCTGCCAAGGCTCGGCCACTTGCTTTCACAAGACATTGTTCACTTGCCTTGCACGCAAGCGACTCTGATAGGTAAGCAAAGATTGTAGGCAGCAATCTCTGGGAAGCAGCGACCGCCTGAACCCAAATATCCGCCGCCCAAGAAGGCCTAGTACAAAATCTTCATGTTACATTGTGCTATTTGCTGCTTTAATGAGGTTGTTGGCTTGCTTAACTCGTTTTCATTCAATCAGTGTGTTTTGTCAGGCAGCTCCCCTGTGTCCTGCACCAAACTATTATTTATATCTGTCTTGTCAGGCTGCATCCCTGCTCGGTCAACCACCGCAGTCAGTTAACAAGGCCAGGCCATTATTAAGTTTTTTGGCCTGCTTTGCTTTCATTCTTTGGGAGGATTTATGCACGGGCGACAGTGGAAACAGCATGGGACAACTTGCTGAGAAACGTTTTGAAAGCGCTTTTTTTTTGTTGAGTTTGGCTGGCGGCGTTCAAATTCCGGCATGCGAGGTCATATAGTGCCCCCTCTGCGATGGGATTTTGCTCAATGCGCCTCCTTGGAAGAGATGTGGTTCTCCGATGCACAGATGTTGTCTTTCAGGGCCGACTTTGACACGATGGAAAGATGCGAACGTGAATCGTGCGCACACTGTTGCGTATTTTTAGCAGAGAGAACACGAAAAGCTGGGAAGCGTGTGCAGACGACCCAAGAGTCAGAAACGTTGTGGTCTGAGATTGCAGAATTTGTGTGTCAATTAGAGTATGGCCCGGCGAGGGCGAGGGCATGGCTGAGCTTTTTAGACGTCAAAGATGTCGTTCCAAACATGTCAGATGAATCCAGTGACTTCGAAAGCGACGTCAGCGGGGGTGGCGTGCCCTTCGCAGATGTTTTGCAACAGGAGGGAGAGCGAGCATTAGCCATGAAAGAGGAGTGGTTAAGCAAAATCATTCCTGGAGAGAAGACAATGGAACTGCGCAACAAATCAGCCCAACCTGGTCTGGCATGGTTTTCTGTCCCAAACCATATCTACCTGAGAGCGAACATAGTGCAGACAGAGCTGCTGACTGCGGAGACTTTTCGCAAGCTTCGCGGAAAACATTGCTGGGCAGGAGAACAGCCATATGAGAAGACGCGGGGGTGGTGGCTGGAAAACATAGAGCGACTGCAAGACGGCGTGCCTTTCCAAAGACGCTGTGCCACAGTTGTTAGATTTAAGGAGGTAGATGCGGAAGAGGAAGATGGAAGCCCGCTGGCAAAGCACGCTGCAGAAAGTGCAACACATCTGGACAAGAGTGCCAACGCGCCTGATGTTGGAGGGCTGAGCAACGTAGGAAACACCTGCTTCGTGAATTCTGTTCTGCAAACGTTGTGCTACAGCCGCGCCGTTGAAGACCACCTTGGCCAGCATCAGTGTCTAAATTCGGGACCAGCAGCGTGTGTGCCTCTTGCGAGAAACTGCGGAACAGAAGACAAACGGAAAGCTGACGCAGTGACAATGAGAAAGTGGCAACGCTTCTGGATGAAACGGGTTTTGAAGTAGGAGCTTCTCTCATTTTGTGATGTTGTTCTCAGCCAAATGGACCCCACACAAGCAATGTTCCACACCAGGTCAACACGTCGTGCGCAGCACAAGTGTAACAATGAGGAGTGCTTCGAATAGTTGGTGGAAAACCACAGAGCACGGAGAAGCGTGGCCTGTTTTCAACGCGGACAATCCAGAGCAAGGGCGTGCAAACCAACAGAGGGGGAGCAACGGCCCCACATTGACGTGTGTTTTTTGCTTTTAGTGTGGTATCATCTCCTTCCTCCTTCTCCTCCTCCTGCCTCCCGCTTGTCACCAACCAAGATTGTCACCAAAAATTGTCATCAACCAACAATTGTCACAAACCAATTGCTACCCACCAATTGCCACCAACTACTTCTCACCAACAACTTGTCACCAACAAATTGCCACCAACAAATTGTCACCAACCAATTGTCAACAACCACTTGTTAACAACATTGTCAACAACCAATTGTTAACCACAAATTTCCACCAACCAATTGTCACCAACCAATCACCAACCAATTGTCGCCAACCAATTGTCATCAATTGTCATCAACCAACCAATTGCCATCCATGAATTCCACGAAGTGTCGCCAACCAATGATTTGCTTGCCAATTGTCTTCTTCAGGGGGTTGGATGTGCGCCCCGGTGCTGGCCGGGGCTGTTGGGTCTCCGCCACTGTGCCGTTGTGATTTGCGTGCGTGGTTTTCAAAAACACGGTGTTTTTTTTTCACGGTTTTGTGGGCTTGGAACATCCAAAATTTGGACAGTGACGAAATGCAAAAACTGTGGGTTTTACAAGGGTGGTGTCGGTAATGCGCCGCGCGGACGTGCAGAATCGGAATTTATTTGGTGACGGGCCCGTGTCAACGTAAATGGCGCGAAATGTACCCAAGATGAGCCACCAAGATGGGTTAACGTAGCCCCAAGATGGGCCAACGTAGGTCCAAGGTTGCCCAACATAGGCCCAACGTAGGCCAACATGGGCCCAAGCTGGCCCAACATAGGGCCAAGCTAGGCCAACATGGGCCCAAGATGGGCCAACAACAACAACAACAACGACAGCGACAACAACAACAACAACACACAAAAACTATTGGATAACCCGTGCTGGTGGGTCTGTGCCCTTCTGAAAGGGTTATTTTTGAGGGTGTTTTTTAAAAATGGTCCTCCTCAACCAATTGTCATCAATCAATTGTCACACCAACTAATTGCCACCCACCAATTGTCACCAACCACCTACGCAGACATTCTCTCTTGCTAAGTGGCTAACATGTGGGGTTATCCGGTCCAAAAATTTTCACTTGTTTTTGGCTTTTCACTGGGAGGCAGCGGTTTTTGGACAGGCTGATGGGCGTCTGAACAAGGACCTTTTCTTTATCCCACCAAGATGTTCCCTTATCGTCCCAAAACCTTGTTTCTTTTAGGGGCTCCGATGATATTGCGAAAACGTTTCAGAGGGAAACACCTACATTTTCGAGGTGCTTGTTCACAAGACGTTCTTCTATCGTGCCAAAACCTTGTTTGTTTCAGGGACTCCTGCGTTTGGTTGCATCGATTTCACAGAAAGTGCCGCGCGCGTAATCACATGGTTTCAAGTGGACTACGGTTCGAGAGGTGCCAATTTTCATCTTTTTTTTTGTGTTTTACACTCTGCCAAACTAGCAAGGATGCGCGATACTGCGTCGAACGCGCGCGTTGCAACCCAGGCACTAAACGCTTTGGCCCTGGGAAACGCATGCATTTTTGAGGTGCTTGTTCACAGAGTGGCGCCAAGCGTCGGTCAAAAAGAAGGGAGAAGGGTCGTGGGTCAAAAAAGAAGGGCCGTCGGTCAAAAAGAAAGGGTTAGGGGTCAGAAAAGAAGATTTGTGGGTCTGAAAAAATGAACCGGGTAGATAGAAACCCGCGCGTCGAAATAAGGGTCAAGAAAACATGAAAGTAGAATAGTTGTGGTGTTGAGCTGGTTGGGGTGATTTGATTTTGTTGAGAGACTTCTGGGAACTAAGTATTCATGAAACCTTTTCCAAAGTTTTGGTTCAAACAGGTCTGCGCGGAACGTTTGCGTGGTGTTGGGGCTGGTTCTTCTATTGTTGCGAGTCTTGGGTGTTCGGTGTCCATCTGATTTGTCGGAGTTACAACCTTTGTTTTTGGTGAACCCTTTCAGTTTAGACCAATACCTGGACGTTTTGAGTCGGCGGAGACAGGATACAAAAGTTTCGTTTGGGGTAGAGACTTGTATGATCGTGGAACGGAGTTGGATCGACTGGAGTCGTGTGGCTGGGTACCGTCAGAGATTGTGGCTAGGTACCGCAAAGAGTACATCAAACATGTACAGAGTGGCCGAAATTTGTCCGGCCTCACCGGAACCATGAGCATTGCTGCATGGTCGGCATTGAAAAGGTTCTTGCCAAAGTCGGTAAATAACAAAAAGAATCATAAGTTCAATCCTGCCGTGTGGAAAATGATGTGGGCTTGGCTGTGGCGCTTCAATTGTGCCTGTACACGGCGAGAACTTCTTTAAATGAGATTGGCCATTTGGCGAAAAGGTGGCAGTGGCACAAGTACCAACGGCGCAGCTTGTCCAAGCGGACGACGTGGAAACGGATGAGGCTCTTGTGACCTTGCAAATTGCTCCCCCCAACCCCCCACCCCCCCAAAGCTTGAGGCGCCAGACAACTGACTTCACATTGGGTTTCTATCAACCCGGCCCCTTTTACTACGGTTCGAGAGATGCCAAGTTTCCTCCCCTTTTGCTGCCAAACTAGCAAGGATGCACGATACTCCGACGAACGCGCGCATTGCAACCCAGGCACTTATAAACGCTTTGGCCCTGGGAAACACATGCATTTTTGAGGTGCTTGTTCACAGAGTGGCGCTAAGCGTCGGTCAAAAAGAAGGGAGAAGGGTCGTGGGTCAAAAAAGAAGGGCCGCAGGTCAAAAAGAAAGGGTTAGGGGTCAGAAAAGAAAATTTGTGTGTTTGTGGGTCAGAAAGAAATAGTCACCATATTATATGTCTCAGCCGCAGTTTCAGATGAGAACTCACTGGTTTTTTGCTCTCTTTAACGCAGATATTTTTCGTGCACATCGACAGCTCCACCAGGAGAATGTGATTGTGGGTGACCTTGCTCGCATGGTTGGAGTTCATGGCAAAACTCAGGAGGCACATTTTACTCGCGGCGGGGAGCGCCGCAAGAGGTCGCGCAGCGGAGCCAGCGGAGAACCCTTCTATTGGGCACATGAAATGTTTTTCCCACAGCCACATGAGGTGGAATGTTCGGGGTCCACCTTTCTCCCCCAGGGAAACTGAGGGAGTTAGATTATGTTAGATCCCTTTTTCTTGGCAAGTCTGTGCTCCAGACCTTGCCTCCACCCACTAATGTAGAGATTTTGATTTTTTGGTGAAGATGCAGCACAGACATGATGACCGACATGCTGCTCACAAAGCACGCAGTTCAATTGCCAAAACTGGTGCAACGTACACACTTGCTATAGTTGTTTTTGGCCCTTCACAGTTCAAAAGAATGGCTGTGTATCGGCTGTGCATCTACAGCGTCCAACACATGGCCTTTGGAACCAACCGACCGGGCATTGGTTGCCGGGCCGTCGTTTTGGGCACCGTTTTTGGTTCCACCCCTCATATCTCCAAGGCGGCTGGAACGAAAGAAAAGGAATTTCTCACAGTTTCTCCACGAAGATTCACCACCGTTTGATGATTTTACACGTCCAGCCACACATCCGCAACCCATTGGTCGTCTCCAACCGCTTGGGATGTATCTGAACATTTTTTCGTCGCCTGAAGATCATGGGCCACTCCGTGCCATTGATCTATCTCATCGTTGGGCCTGGGGCCCCGATTTCTGCAACTTCGGGGCGGGGCAGCAGGGGCAGGTGAAAAGGGTGAATTTAGTGAGTTGCCATGTACTTGTCAAGGTCGTTTTGTTTGCGAGAGATTTGTGAAACTGAATCTGCAGGTTGTTTTGGAGTATTTTTTGTTGTGAAAGAGATGAACATGTTGGTGAGCCCCGTTTTGGATAAAAGAGATGTTTCTTTTCTGGAAGGAATCGTTCTCCGAACTGAACCACACACCATGTAAGTGTTGCATAGTTTAATTTGATTTTCCTTGCAGGCGTACCAGCGCTTATTCTCACGCAATCTCTCAGCGGCAAATTCTGAAAATTGCATGCCAACAAGAACGACACAGGATATTTAAGATGCACATGTGTAGAGTGCAACATGGGGCCAGAAATGATACCCTCATCAACTGCTCCTTGGCAGGGCGATTGCTTTGCTATGGATCTCGGGTAACACCAACGCGATCCATATGATTGTTCTCGGTGTCCAGAGCTTAGCTCAAAGCGAGTCCAGTAAGTGCCTTGGACGAGTTTGACCGAGTAGGAAGTGCAGCGAAGTGCAGCGAAGTGCAGCGAAGTGCAGGAGCAATCAAGATGCATTCGATCTTCACGGCATTCTTCCGGCTCAATTTTTCGATTCTGTGCATCAACTACCAGACATGGATTCAACAATTCGTCAGAAGATTCCTAGGTTTTGGTGTTTTTTTTTCTCAGTCCTGCACTTAGTTCCTCATCTACATGTACTCCCAGTATACTCGAGCGTCCGGACCCTGGTTGGGCATCGTGAAAAGAAAAAGATCGGAGCTGTTTGGATCAAGATGCGATCGTCCCTCCGTCTGACCTGGGTCTCTTCTTTGCGGCGAGGAGGGTCTTGGTTCAGAGCGGGGCGAGAGGCGCTTGCCATAAAGTCCAAGAAGTTCTGCAGCAGAAGTAGTGATTTTCCCAACAACGCGTAAGCTATAACCATGGGCGAGAAACAAGACCGTCCTGGTGTAGGGTGTAGGTAGGTTCAATGATATCCAAAAGCATGACCACTTTCCTATTGTTTGGATGTTTATCCATCATATATTCACATCATATTCTATCTACTTCAGGACTTTGTATATGACTGGCACCTGGTAGGATGCGGACACTTGAGGACTCAACGGTGTTCAGGCGGAGTTGCACGGTGAGGGTTCAGGGTCGGACGGCCGCAAAAAAGGGCCTAGCCAGACGGAAGTTGACGAGTTATATTGTTTGGTCTCCCAGTTTGGTAGGTCTTTTCAGGTCTCCAAAAGTCTCAACTTTTGGTATCCTACCCTTTGAGGTTGATCGGTTTCACCGACGATGCAAACCCGGCCGAATCTTTGGACCGCAAACCGAGATTGCAGACGTGCCCGAGACGACCCGAAAAACACGACCGACCAAACGGCACGGTCGGGTCCGAGTCCGAGGCAAAGTGGAGGCTCCGGAGCTCGAGGCCCCAAGGAATCGACGGTCGATCCGCGTGTGACGGCTGAGACGACTGGGCTGTGCCTGGGAGACGTTGATGGCACCCAGAAGGGAGTGAAGGAAGGAGAAAGGATGCCACTTTGTTCCGTTGGAACATGTTGATGTTCTTCTTTAATTATTTTAATCGGTTGTTGATCAATCAAGAAGCCTCTTAGAGCTGCACTGCCACCTTGAAGAAGCACAGTTGCTGACAGCTGTCAGCACGCGTTCGACATGTCAAACACGTGCATGTCAAGTAATCCCCAGTGAATTCTGGTGAAGATGCGATGACAAAGTCCCTGCCACAAGCAAAGATGAGAACAGTTCATGTTTGAATGTCGTTGAATGCTCTCAGGGAAGTCCACCCGATGACAACAGCAGCCGTGGACATGCCGCTGAGTTGGGAGTTGGGAGTTGGCATCCACTGAGTGTCTTGACACTGGTATAACGATTATTGTGGCCAACGTTCAAATCCAGGATTTGTGACAGACTTTGACATTCATGTGGTTACTGTACTTGAGTCCCTCAGTCTATGGAACAGCATGGAACAACAAAGAATTGGATTGGAATAAATTTCTTTGTTGTGGCTGGAACCTCACTCACCGGGTCATGCTTTTTTTGTTGGAAGAGAGCACCATAGGGACCGATGAATACATGGAGATTTGAGCAACAAGAGGTCAGAATTTGGATGGGTCAAACAAGCTACTACAAATCAACATACGTATCATCACATACCTAGTGAATCAAAACTGTTTTCATGTATCCAATGGGTTCCAGATATCTCATCGTACAACTTGCATGTGAGTACGTACTTTCAGGAAAGAGCTTTCTGGGCTACAGGGCGTCAGGATGGTCCTGGATCCGGGAGTATGCTGTTCTCGTTCCCGTGCATTTCGCGACAGGACGAACGTTCTTTCGAAGGTTTTGGAACGTGTGAAGATGACCTTTCCATTTGCCTCGTTACTGTTCGAAACCTGGCCAATTGGATGACAGGGAGTCCAATCCTCTTTTTTTTGCAGGGGGAAGTCATCACATTAGACAGACCCCGAGTGGTGTAGGTTCCTTTTGCAATTACAGTAGGTTGAAGGCCATCGCTAGTAGGTTGGAGGCCACCGCTTCTAGGTTGGAGGCCATCGCTATTAGGTTGGAGGCCATTGCTATTAGTCTATTAGGTTCCTTTTGCAATCCTTAGTAAATGCCGCTTTTTGCGGAAACCGGTTTTGGTGTCCCTCAGGTCATCAACCCTGGCCGTTGACGGCGCTGTGAAAAGAGCGTCGCAGGTGGAACACGTTCCAGGAGTTGTCTCGGAGCTTTGCGTGTCGGGCAAGAGAGCCCCCAAAAGGTCCATGTGGCTTCTGAAAGCATTGCACAAAGCTGAGCTTGTCGACCCCCAAGCTGGTTGAAACGTATTAGTATAGTATATTCCCAGATATACTTATAGTATGATTAAAACACACGTAATTGTATAATAACATAATATGCATTTGGTCGGCTCTCAGAGGTGTTTTCCGTGCAGACGTGGAACATCTTGTATATTTAGATACCCATCAAACCGAGGGGCAGAGTCGGACCCTGAATACGTCCTTCATGGTTCGCAGCTGTGGCTGACAAGACTTTCGCCGATCCTTTCCGACAGGCTACGCATTGAGACCAAAGAAGTACAGCAAGACCTCCGATAGTCAGAAGTCTCCACCGTGAACCACAGTGAAGTCCGTCAGAATCCGACGAGTTCGTCTGAACGGGTTCGACAACACCACATTGGGCGACCTTGGACTTGGGTGATCACGTGCCTCAGCTGTGCCGTCAACGATCAGGCGAGTCCAGTGGGAGCAGCTGTCAACGGGTTGTTTTGTTTGCTTCACAGGAGTTCGTGTGTCTTGTTCACAAGGAGTACATACCAGGTTGTGACCTTCAAATGTCTGTCATAGGGTTTGTCAGGGTGGCGTTTGGCGCTTGGCAGTTGCCCCAGGCAGGACCAACCCTAAATGTTATCACCCGTGTACCGAATATCGACGGTTTCGTGTTGGAATGTTATGTGCCGTACCAACGAGTGAAGTGTGACGGTGTCACCTCAGAATCAGCAATGCTGTGGCCTGCAAAATGATGTCCTGAACACATCTCCAAGCACACTAGCGATGACCTCCAACCCAATAGCAATGGCCTCCAACCTAGTAG